TTTAGCAAACATCATTTTGCTTATCTAAAAAGAGACAAAACAAAATTCACAGAAGTTGCTTTCAGTGTTTCTACTGCTGTTTTCTCTTCATGGAAACTCATACTTCTGGGGTGCCTCAGTATGAAAACCCCTGGCTGATGAATGCTGACCTTCTGCAGGGGTTAGTCCCGAACATTAGTACACATGAGAAAATTTCTAGAGTGCAAATGACCATTACAAGTCTTTTTGGAAGGTACCTGTTGGGCACCGAGTGTCTTTTTCAGGAAGTCCACTGTCCAGATGCACTGTAGAGTTTGGTTTTTTCCAGTGGAACAACAGATGAAATGATTGACTTGTGTAGAGCAGCTAAGTTGGAAAGTTCTAGTGTGCCTTTAAATATCAGAATAACTCTTTAGCACTTTGGAATTGAGACTGATTTTGTAGGACTTATTTCACCCTCTCACTCTGAGGTCTGTGTTTTCTGGGGAGAGGGGATAAGTGAAGATAGTCCTTTCTTTATGCAGGTCTACAATGGATACATATTTGCCTTTCCTCTCCTAGGCTCCCACGGTTGAATTCACATATTTAGGATGGTTTCAGTATTCTGAAGGATGCTTCCTGAACCTAAAGCCTTAGATATGCACAAAGAAGAAGGAATTGGTGGTCTTGAACTGGATCTTTCAGGCACCCAAGCCAGCTTTGACTAATGACAATATACAATCTTATATCCAAAAGTTTAGGATGTTGCCAGTGAAGGAGGGGATCATGAGTAGAAAGATGTAATGGAGGGGAATGCATTTATAGAGAATAGGCTCTAAGGTTGGGCCACCCTTTAGGGAAAAATATCTTTGCCTGATGATTTATATGAAAACTTGATTTTTGAATCCGAACTCTGCTGGTTAGCAGCTTGGTGACCCAGGTGTACTATTTCACTTTCTTGAACCCCAGTTTCCTCATTTGTAAAATGGACATTAGTGGCATGCACATTTGAGAATTAAATGTGATAATGAGTGGTAGCACTTACTTTAGCATCTGCTACATAATTAGTATTCAATAAGCGTTGGTTTACCCAGTTCCCTCGCCAGACTTTGAAGGGTAAGTCATTAGATGAGTTTGAATGGTTACGATGATCGTGTTCTGCAAATAGAAATTTCTATACTATCCTAATTATCTTTTTGTACTTTTTTCTTTTTTAGGTGGTACTGGGGTTTGAACTCAGAGCCTCAAGCTTGCTAGGCAGGCACTCTACCACTTGAGCCACTCCACCAGCCCTACCTAATTATCTTTTTGGATGCAGCATGGAATGGTTAAATCAGCAGTGAGCCTAAGACACATGGGATTAAATCCCAGATTGAAAATTTAATTGTTGTATAACTTTAAGCAAGTTATTTAACTTCTCCATTTCTCCTATATGGTAGGTAGTAGTAATTTTTGTGGATGTTATGAAGCCTGCTTGAAATGATACATTTAAAATACTTGGCACATCCCTAGTGCCCAGTAGGTATTCACTCTCCCCTTTCTGATCTCAGCCACATTTTTGTTTCTTCTCTCTTCTCTCAAGGATAAACTCTCCAGAAACATTATTGGAAATGGCATTTGAGAGGGACTTTAACCCCTGAGTCCATCTTTGTTCATTTCACTTTATTGATTTATTTTGCTCAGGGACCATGAGAATCTTTCCTACAACATTCTGATTTTAGTTGCTTGCATGCTAAAGTCAGCACTAACTATTCTTTTAGAAAGAAATGAGCAATATGAAGTCCAGAGTGTTCAGGCAACTTGACTGAAACCACACCAAGTGGTTCGTGGTCATATTAGATTGAGATCTCCAGGTTCCTGGCTTTGTATCTAGATCTTATTTGGTTTTATTTATTTCTTCTTCCTTTTTTTCAAGCATTCAGTCAACTAATAATTTTGAGATGGGTCAGGTGCTATTTTAAGCATCAAGGATGCACTGGTTGAAAAAGACAGTGAATGGAGTTTATGTCTCAGAGGAAGGTGAAATGGCTACCTCCTAAGACAGGTGGGCACAGGCCCCATTTCTGCTATCCCCATGAGAATGTCATTATCCCACCTGGCCTCTCACCGTGCAGAGTTTCAGTCAGAACGAGGCTAGGAGGAGCAAATTAGATTGAAGGCAGGTGAATGAATGTACCATCCAGAATGATATATTCTTTACAAAAGTAATCGGATCTACTTTTACTGGGGAACAAAAGGATTGATTCTTTGTTTGAAAGTGCTTTCTGATCTCGAAAGATGCTTTCCCTTTGGAATTTGTAGGGTCCAATGGCCACATGAATGAATAATGAGCTTATTATTAGTATCAAGGGGGATGCCCCTCTCAGAAAGTTTTGCTCTAGGGGAATGAAGACAAGACAAGATTAGTTCTCTTCTGAAGTGATCTACAACCACCCCCTGCATGGAGCTGCGTTTTAAAGTCAAGGCCAAGGCTGGCAATAAACAACCAATATTCACCCATCTCTGAGCACAGCCTGCTACAGGAGAGTAAAACCTAAGACAGTGTGGAAAGCCCTGCTTATCAGGTGATCTTAGTTGGCAGATCCAGCCATGCTGGCTGGGTAACACCCCAACTTTGCTGATCCAGCCTAAATGCAGTTGGATCCCTGGATCTGATTCTGCCTTTGACTGTTGAATTCTCTGTGGAACACTATATCTGTTTCTCATTCAGCAACAGCTCCTATATTCTTGTAGCTTACTATGACTCAGATAAAAGAGATGGTCTATTTTTAGTGAGATTTCATGTAGAGGAGTGTTAATAGACTTTAAGCACCCCAGGCACCAAAGAGGGACAAGTTAGCAGTGAACAGATAGCAAGAGCAGTGCATTTTGCAGGTGGTTTGATTTAGTGGGGGGATCCAGAGCCTTGTGGGGTTGCAGCTCACCTTTTATTCCATTCATACTACCCTATCTTTCCACTCTCACAGAGGCTATTTTGTTTTATACCTGTGTATCTGCCTTGCACGAAATATGCGGAACTTATAAACTGGTCACTTAGTAGGAGGTGTTGGGAGGAAGCTGGCTTATTCCGTGGATGAAAATAAAACTGATCTTTACCTAACACTGTAAAGGAACAGGACAAAAAAATGTAGGTTGACATCATAACCTAGGGATGGGGAAAGATTTCTTATCCAAGACATTGAAAACATGGAACAATATGTTGGTAAACTTGATTATACAAAATTAAGGTGTTCAATACTGCAAATGACTCCATGGATACTTTTAACAGACATGCAAAGATTTGGAAAAGACTACTGTAATGTCTAAAACCAATGAGGGGCTACGATCATCGTAGAAAACTGAAGGAATTTCTGAGAATCAACAAGAAAAATATAGAAATCCCATTGGATAAAAAAGCAAAGAATTTCAGAAAGTTTTGTTCAAGGGGAATGAAGACAACATGAGATTTTTCAAGCGTCCCCAATAGGATTAAGTGTATGAAGTATATGAAGAGATCCTTGGCAAGTAGGTGTCACTTTACTTGCTAGACAGGATCAATTAGCTATGGAGGTGATACCAAGCTTGGGTGGGAAAGGGTTTAGAAGAGATACAAGAATACCTAAGTGCTTCTGGGAGAGGCCATTCTGCTTTCAGATGTACACACTCCAAAGAAACTCTTTTATGGGTCCAAAGAGACTGTATAAGGACACTTACTGGAGAGCCATAGAGCAGTTGGGGGAGTGGATAAGTAAGATATAAGACATCTTTGAATATGCAGTAGTTAGAAGCAATGGGTAAGATATATACAAGGGAATTTGGGAGGATCTTAAAAACATAGTACTGAATGGAAAACAAACAAGCAAACAAAGAAACAGATGAGACCTATAATATAAAAACATTTAAGTGAGTTAAAAAACACTTGCACAGAGCTGGGTTTGGTGGTGTATGCCTGCAATCCCAGCATTTGGGAGGCACATGCAGGATGATTGTGAGTTCAAGGACAGTCTGGGTTACACAGAAAGACCCTCTCTCAACCAACTAAGGGCTCAGTGGTACTCAGTGGTAAAATGCTTGTCTGGCATGGTACTGGATAAAACCCGGTACCACCAAAATACAAAAACCACACTTGCATACAGAACAACAATATATACTTTTGTAAGAATGTACACAAATACCTGGGTGTGGTGGTACACACCTGTAATCCCAGCACCCAGGAAGTTGAGCCAGGAGAATTACAAGTTTGAGGTTGGGATATGGTGAATTCCAGGTCAGCATGAGCTACATAGTGAGACCCTGTCTCAGAAAAACAAAAAACAAAACAACAACAAAAAGGAGGTATACAAAGGGATTCATATTAAGCAAATTAAAATAGTTGGGAGGGAATCAGGACTCTGGGTGAAAGGAAATACACAAATATACTAGCAATCATGAGTGGACTTTGGAGGGTATTTTGTTATTCACCTTGAGCTGTGGAAGAGAGAGACAGATCTGTGAGAGGGCTTGAAGAGTGCGACTGCCTGGGAACCCAGCTTTAGTTAAATGCCTGACTATGAATAAAAGTCTGAGTGGTGACATCACCCTGGGATTTCACCAGCTCTTTGACATTATTCTCCTGGAAATGCTGGTAAATTTGTGAGTTTGGATGACCCATTGGAAGGAGGTAAACTGATCCTGTCAACAGTAACTATTTTCTATTTAGAACTGCTTTCTACAAAAAACAAAGTGCCAAATGATCTCCTAGAAGACACAGTTTACTCATTTGGTCCTAAATAAGACATGTATAAAACCTGAAGCTGGCCAGTGTCTTTCCACAGTCTAGCTGTTTATTGGTGCAAGTTCTGAAATAATATTGGATAGAATATATTATTGTCACCTTTTATAGAAACCACAATTTCAGAAAATTACAGTTATGTCCACAGTGAGGTTCTCTAAGAATGAACCTCAGGGCTTAAACCCAAGTTTTCTAGATTTAAGGTTAGATCCTCCAGCATCAACAGACAAATGGTGATTACTTCACAGCTTGGGCACAGAATAGGAAATTAGTCTGTTTCTGGGTCCATCTGTTTTCTCTCTTTTTTTTTTCTCAGCAGAAGTTTCCTTGATGGTTGCCTTATTTTTATTTTCCTTTAGTCTAACCCAGGTTTCTCAAGCTTGGTACATTGGACCGGAGAGCTGTGATGCTTACCCTTGCATTGGAGTGTGTTTAGCAGCGTTCTGGCCTTTGTCCACAAGATGCCAGTAACACCTCCCATGTCACAGCCAAAAAAAATAGCTCCAGACATTGTCTCTTGGTATAAAATCATGTCTGGGTGGCAACCACTAGACTACACGAAGATCCTGGACACACCAGCATTTCCGTACAAAATCCATTTTAGAAATCTTCTCTCTCTTTTCAGGATATAAGATGCAATATTCCCTTTGCTGCCTCTGTTAACAAATGTCCAAAAGTAGAAGCTCAGAGAAGATGGTTCTAGGTAACCACCTAGCCAAATCTAACCTGCAGCAAAAAGACTTGGGCCCTTTTAATAAAATAATTCAGAATTCTTTTTTTTTTTTTTTTTGGCAGTACTGGGAGTTGAACTCAGGCCCTTGCAGTTGGTAGGCAGGTGCTCTATCACTTGAACCACACCACCAGCCCTATGAACTAATTCAGAAACAAACAATAGAAAAACAATCTTCGGTCTTGAGTCAATTGAGTATTTGGGCAAATGTATTCATTCAAATCCCCATTTTGGAGAGAAATTGCTTTGTTTTGTATTTGCCCTGGCTGGTGACATGATGACTGCATATGGCAGAAGTATTTAAGGGAGAGTTTAGAGAGAGGTGAATGCTCGTTGGGTCATGTCTCTCAAGCTTTTCCAATGGGTTGGGGTCCTTTTTCTGGGTTTTATGAGATTTGCAAGCAGAGAACAATCCTGTTATTCTTAAATGGATCCTTAAAGGCCCTATTAGTGGAAAGACTGTCCTAAAAATGCAAAAGGATGGAGAACTGCTTGAGATAGTTGAATAAGATGAAATGAGGAAGCCCTTGGTTATTTCTATCAATAGTACAGAGCATCAGATGGTTGTACTGAGGGAAGGGCCAGTGGAATTAGATTCTAATGTGCTCTTGCTTGGGAGGTTTTAGGTATTATTCCTAATTAGCTGATATAAGACCAGGTTTGGGGAGGTTAGATTACCTATGAGGGTCTTCTAGCCTTAAAGCAAGGGTTCTAAATCCACTGGATTTATAGTGGAAAGAACAAATACAGTTAGTTTTCTCTTGCTTCACATATGGATTGAGGCAATTGCTATACACAATAGGTTAGGGGAGGAATTCATCACCATGGTGATGAGGCCTGAGATGGTATGAAAAGTGAAGGAATGATGACAAATGCCAGGGAGAAGGAAGATGGGGAGGTTGAGAAACATATGAAAGAAAAGAAGAACCCTAAAATGATAAGCTAAATAAGTTGGAAGCTCAATGCTGTGAATGTTAGAAGAAAGGCTTTGTGAATGTAAGAGATTAGAATTCCAAGGGAAAAGGAGATCCTGATGAAAAAAATTATTAAAGGAGCAAAGAGAAATTCATGGTGAGTAGACAGCGCACTGATCCAGTCATGCCTACTGTCCACTCCTCAGCCTGGGGTTCCAGCCTTTCAATTCTGTCACGATGCCTCACAGTGGCCCAGTGAAACAACCTAGAGGGGAGCCCATTTTGCAGGTGGAAAGACAAGATTTCAAAGGAAGGGTATTTGCTCACCTTCCTAAAGCTACTCAGAGGGATTCACATGCCGGTTTTGGAATACTTGTTCTGTCACACCACATGACCGCTTGGCTTTCCAGATTCTCAACAGATTTGGTGATAATAAGGACTCAGAAAAAAATAATTAAGGATTAAATCAATCTCTCTGGTGGAAGAAATGAAACGGGAATGCCGAAAAAAAGGGGGTGTATGTTTTAGTGAGTTCTTTCTTTGCACTAATGGTAAAATGTACATTTCTCCACTCCATTTCAAATGTTTTCTGAAGCCTAGTCAAAGAAGGCTGACAGTCAAAACCTGCCATGGTGTAGGCCATGAGCTGAGAAGACAAGATAATAAAAGAAGGTGAGAGAACAGCCATCTTTGTTTTGTTAGGAACCAGTCATCTTAAATTTTTGGATGACAGAGAAAAAGCTGATAAGCCTTTACGTTACTGAACTTGGACCCCAATGTCACGGCAGAGTTATATAGAGCTTGACTTCGCTGTGTGCTCTGGCTTGCAGAGTGCATTTAATGTAGAGCAAAGCTGAGCCTGTTCTTAGAATTGTCAATCCCCAAAGACTAAGCATTAGGCCATGAGACCGCTCATCCAGGTGGTGGAAAGTTCTAGAGCTCAGGAGAAAGTGGGCTAGGTAGTTAACGAAACCAGGCACATGAGAATAAATTCTTTTTTTTGCAATACTGTTCTCTGATGGGTAAAAACTCATTTCAGAATGGAGAATTTCTTCATCTGCTCTGCATAACTGCTGGCTTGAACTTACAGTTGATTTCCACCAGATGGGCTCATCAAACAAGTCATAATTCAATGTTTAATGCAAGGAGAAAATGGGAGGCCATCTCAAATTTTGAAGAAATATTGAGGAAATTAAATAATTCTCTGGATAAAGGTGCGTAGGTGATGGGAACAGAGATTTTACCATCCCTCCACAAAATGTATCACTCTATTTGTATGTAATTTATCGCCTTGAATTTAGGAATGAAAAATAATCAATTTCAAAAGTAACTAAGTAGAAACTTATTTGTATTTGAGAAATAGATCAAGCCAAAGAGAGGAGACTGTACTTAAACCAAAACACTCAAGAAAATTGCATGAAGAGGCTGGTGACTGGGAGAAGGCTAGGTTTTGGCCCTTTTGAAGTCTTATATTGGGGCGTGAGCCCATAGTCAAAACATAATGCTTGGGAACTATCAGTGTTTTTCCAGATGCTAACACTATTGACCAACATAGAGAACCATCAGCATATAGATTTCTTTTAATAGTGTTCCCTTTAAGTTCATTGAGAAAAGCCAGTCAAAGTAAATGTCATTTTGCTCATGGAGCTTGGGAGGCCTGTTGAGATTTGAAATCTTGTGTAAATGTGCTAATTATAACACTGCACATCAGGAGGAGTGGGGGAAGGGTTAGGAGGATCCCATCCACTTGCTTCTGTCATGAAAATGAGGACCATGGCTAGGCCTCAAAGTTGGAGCATTGCTCTCCTCTCTGAATGCATGTAGTCTTAAGTAAGAAGGACCCAGAAAGGCCTCCAAGACTGGAGAGATTTAGCACAAACTTGTGATTTAGCATGGCTTCCATGGAGCATGATCCAGAGTTCTGGGCAAATTGTTGGCAGGTTCAGGGCCTTACAGACAGCATAGAGCACAATGGCTAAGAGTGTGGGCTCTTGAGTTCGATACGCCTAGCTATGTGATTTTAGGCAAATTACTTCTCTGTTTTCTTCATATTTAAAATGGAGACAATAGTATATAAAGCTCACAGGATTCCTATGAGGATTAGTGAGATCATCTATGAACTTCACAAGTTAACTGCCTGGAAAATGATGAGCACTTAATAAACGGTACCACTAGGGTTACTTTCTTTCTGAAGCCATGTGTTACAAGGCAAGGCTGTAGAGAGTTGGGAGCTCGCAGTACATAGCTTTCCAAGAGCTCCTGGAGGGAGTCAGACTCCATCATGGAGTCATGGACCCCATTATCCACCCAGCTCCAATGTCCTATTTAATTCCAAACAATCTGATAGGCACAGTAACTGGTCCCATGTGTGACACAACTGGCGTTTTCCTCTCAGAGTTTGAGTTAAACAGATTTGAGCCATGTTACTCTTTGGTTCCATAGCATTTGGTTATGCAGGTTCTACATCCTCTTGGCTTCAGTTTTCTCTAGAGTCCAAGATCAAAGAGCAGAAGAAGAAAGGAACGGCAATGATTTTGAGAGAATGGTTGATGCCATCAACTCCCACACTTTTTCCACAGAGGGGCTGGGAGTATGTAAGAGTAGATTTGTTGACATCTTTGATTATTCTGTAGGAGGCTTTGCCAGTGCCTCATATTTTGAACACCATGGCAAGAAGTAGGCAATAGAGTTGGCAAGAGAAAAATCTTATAACTTGAAAAATGGGATAAAGTAGAGTCACGGAGGAGAAAGCAAGATTAGGAAAAAGGCAAAGGAAAAAGGAGAAGAGAATAAAGGGGAAGGGAATGAGTTTCCTTTTCTTGAAAGTAGAAAGAGAAATTTAAGAGAAATGAAGATTTCTGACACTAATGAAATTTAAGAATTAGGAAAAGATAATGACAGCTCTGGAAAGTAGGAGTGAGTTGGCTAGAAAGCCTTAAAGACTTATAGGTAGAAAAGGCCCTTTAGGGCATTATGTGAACTGTCTTTTGTCTTTACAGCTAAAGAAAAGGAGAAAGGAAAAAAAGAAGCAGAAAAGAAATAGAGAACACTTTGTGTCTATAGGATTGGACTATAAGCTATAAGGCCTTTCCCAAAGCTAATCACCTAAGTATTTATAAGTCATATGAATCTATCTTAGATTCCTGATTTGATTAAGATAATTCACTGTGGGCTGTGTAACTTCCTTGAGAGTCACTTGTGTAGATGACATGAATATGTTTGATTTTCTCAGTTTTCAAAAAGTCAGGATCATAATGCCCTTCAAATTTCTAAGCAGCTTATACAGAATAATAATTTTTAAAACAAACTGACCAGCCCCCAGGGTGTTCTGGGATTGATGCTGAGCTTTTCATGAAGGCTGACTCTCATCTAGAACCAGATCCTAGAGCTTTGTGGCATTCCTTTGGGTGACTCCCCAACTGGCTCATTATTAAATTCTAGGATATCTGTTTCCTTGGTGTCCAGGTTTTCCATTAAGTACAGCATATCAGGAGAGACTGCAGAGCCAGCCCCAAGGTTGATTCCATTGGTCTCTGATGATGTTTCTGTGTCAAGTAAAAGAGTTGGCCCAGGGCTCACAGAATCTGGATTTAAGTTTTCCAGGGAGCTGTGTCTGGACTTGGGGAACTCTGGGAGGCTCCACCTCTTTGGTAACATGCTATCACCCACGTCCTCCTCAACCTTGAACATATCTATCTCAGTATTGGCAGAAATAGTCTGAGGACTTGGGCCCCTACGTGGTGTCCTCTTCTCTGAGGTGAACTGGAGCAATTCCACTGGGTTCTCTTGCTGCCCAGTCCTGCTTGGCTGAACCCCAGTAAACTCAAGGCTTATGATGGAGGTAGCAGAGTCATGGTGATGGCCATTTGAAGAGGGCATTGGTGTTTCAGCTGCTGTGATCAGTACCTCGGGGACCTGAGGCATTTTGGTGGGGGAGGTTCGCACACTGGACTGTGGGGTTAGGCTCTGCAGAGTGCTTGTTCGGCTGGTCTCCCTGATTGTGGACAGTTCTCCCATGCTGGAATGCAGCATGGGGCTGCCCTCCAGGGACTGGGATTGCTTCCGGGTGGGTGAGGCTCTGTGGGGGCTTCTTGAAGGCACATCTAGCAGATCCCGAGCTGGGCTCAGATGGAAGAACATGGAGCTGTCGCTGGCTTGCCTCCCAAAGCTTCTTCTCTGTGGGCTGACAGGGTGTTCGTGTGTACTCAGGAAGCGCTTGACTCTTCTTATCATGGAATGTCGATGACCATGCTTCTCATAGTTCCATAGCCACTCCTCGCCAGGCAAGTCAGACCCAGATGACCTGAAACACACAATGACAAAAGACAGGAAGGGTAGCCTAAGACTAATGTTGGAGCAGTCTCAAAGTTAAGAGATGAGTTTTGCATTTTTGCATTACAGAATTTGGAATAGGGTTAGGGGAATGTCAACTTGAAATAGTCTAGCAGAGGTTCTCATACCTTTTGGTCTCAGGATCCTTTTAAACTCTTAAGAATTATTGGGTATCCCAAGCAGATCTATTTATTTAGGTTATATTTACTGTATTTAAAATTACAACCAAGGAATGCCAAAACACAAGAATGTATAAGCGCACATTCCTTTAAAGAAAGGGACGACATCATCATATATCTTGCAGCCTCTGGAAAATTCCTCTGTATAGTAGTCCCTCCTGATCCATGGGAGATGCATTCCAAGATCCCCAGTGGATCTCTGAAACCACAGATCATACTTAACCACATACAGTAATGCCTTTTCCTCCTTGACTAAGTGCATGTCACACACTGTGGCTATAACTTTTGCAGTTTGACGTTCAACAGCAAAACCGGCATGAGTTGCTGCCTTTTTGCAAATTTCATGGGTAGATGATTCATTCTTATTGTGCAACTTAGCAATTAAATATATGCTTTGTTTTTCTTTCCTTAAGTTGGGAACTTTCACCTTGCCAGGCACCAGTGACTCACGCCTGTAATCCTAGCTACTCAGGAGGCAGAGATCAGGAGTATCTTGGTTCAAAGCCAGCCAGGCAAATAGTTCGTGAGACCCTATCTCAAAAAAACCTTTCACAAAAAAGGGCTGGTGAAGTGGCTTAAGGCATAGACCCTGTGTTCAAACCCCAGTACAGTGGGGAAAAAAAAGGAACTTTCTCCTTTTACTTTTTGACACATCCAAATTGCCAACATCACTACTACTGTGCTCTGGGGCTATTATTGAATAAATTAATAAAATGAGGATTACTTCTACACAAGTGCTGTAGTAATGTGACTGTCAATCTGATAACTGAATCATAGCTAAATTTAAGAGAGTAAAAATAACAGCTAACACTCATTTAATTATCACAATAATTTGGAAGTTGGTTTTGTTAGCATTATGTGCACTTTACAGATAGGGAACTGAAGTCTAGAGAGATCCATTAAGCCTGTAAGGCCAAACTGGAACCCTTACTCGTGAGCCTTTGAACTCATTCCTTTGATATAAAGCCTGTTGCACAGGGTTAAGGTAAGAGTTAGAGCCCAGTGCAATACCATGAGTAAAATGCAGACTTTTCCCAGAGGAAATCTGTGAATGCTTTGCAGTTCTGTCTGTTCAATTAGGGCTAAAGAAGGAGATCCATGAACCCTGTGGAAAGAAGAAATTCATGGAGGTGAGATGGACTGGCATTGTTGTTGGGCCTGATGGTGTAAGTTAGTGTTTTTTTTTTTTTTTTTGTGGTTCTGGGTTTTGAACTCAGGGCCTTGACCTTGAGCCACTCCAACCGCCCTATTTTTGTGATGGGTTCATTTTTTTTTGAGATAAGTTTTCTCAAACTATTTGCTTGGGCTGGCTTTGAACTGCGATCCTCCCAATCTCTGCCTCCTGAGTACCTAGGATTGTAGGTGTGAGCCACTGGCACCTGGCCCGATGGGGTAAATTCAATGGACTTGCTAGGGTTAAGAATATCCTGTTGAATTTTTTAATACAAAAAATAAAACAAATAATCCTACCATTTTAAATTTCCTTTGAGGCTGAAATAAAATGAGTAACTGAGGTAAGGAAAGCTTGTTTGGTAGTCAGGTCTGCTTCTCCTCAGATTACATGGCTGTCTTACATCTCTGTGGACTTACAGTCTTCATAGGGTTTGAAGAACTACTTAAGCTTTGCCCTTAAACCACAAATGCTCATGCTGGTTCTGGAGGCAACAGTAATGATGCTGTCCCAGTCCAGGACTGGCACTGACATCCATGGTGACAAGATGCTTTATGCTGGGTGCACTTTATGTGACATAAAAGAACATGCTGGTGCAGTATAATGGAGGAGTAACCTGAAAGGGAAAAGGGAGCAGCCAAAGAAAACGTGCTCCCGTGTTTATGAATAAAAGATGGATGACTGAGATGATTAACTGGCTCAACGTCCTGGGATGGCATTGGATTACAACCTCATGCTGTTATTCTAAAGCCCCAGCATTGCCCTTGGCTACCAGATAGTCTCCTGACCCAACCACTGCTGTGTGAGGTGTGGATTCTGTTACATCCACTTGGGAAATGCAGACTCATGCTTCACCGACCCTGGTGACCCTACTGGTTGAATTTCATTAGGTCAGACGTCTAGTCACACTTCACGGGAATCCATTTAGCTAGGAAGGCCACCAGAAGAGCAACAAACACAGTTGGTCACTAAGAATGCTGCACTGGCTGTGCTCTGGGACCTGAGGTCGAGCTGGCGGTCTCACTTTGTAGGACAGACATCTGCCCTCCATTTGGGATCTGACTATTTATTTGGGATTTGTTTCTCTTAACTACTTCTAGAGCACACAACCTTGTAAGAATAACACAATCTTCTAGGGAAAAAAAAGTTTATTATTATTACTTCAAAACCTTCCAAAGGAGCCAGGTGTTGGTGGCTTATACCTGTAATCTTAGCTACTCAGGAGGCAGAGATCAGGAGGATTGTGGTTCGAGGCCAGCCCAGGCAAATAGTTCTCAAGACCCTATCTCAAAAATATATAATACAAAAATGACTGGTGGAGTGGCTCAAGCTGTAGACCCTGAGTTCAAACCCTGATACCTCAACAACAACAACAAAAAACCTTCAAAAGGAAAAAAAAAAACCTTTGAATGAAACTATGCACTGGTGTAGTGTAGTGGTATTGTACATTCAAGTACAATGAGAGGAATAAGCCCCTTGAGTCACAGGTGAAAGAAAACAGACAAGCACAATGAACACACTGCAAAAGCACTCTTGCTAGTGTTCTCCTGATTGATGTTGTGTAGATCTGCTAAGGAGACCCCATTGAACCTCCTTCCTTGTAAAACTATGATGAGGATGCATGAGGCTTATTTGCTTATTCACCTAGATAAATTTACCGAACATCTACCACAAATAGCTTGTTGCATTATGTAATTAATTACTTATAATTTAGAGGAGGGAGAAGGCATGTATATAAATGTCTACATTTTGGGCATAGTGAGTTTTCATGCTGGCCTTTGGTACTGAATCTGAATGGTTAGATGGAGAAGGGACAGAACATTCCAGGGAGAAGAAGTGACTTAAGCAAACAAGGCAGCAGGAATTAGTATATTTGTGAGGAAGGAGAAATACTTGAGTTTGAGTAAGACACAGAGGATAGTGTCAGACATACTCTGGAAAGATAGTCTTGGAGTATGTTATGAAGAGTCATATTGCAGGATGAGGAATTTTATTGTAGACAGCAAGCAGCTACTGATTGCCTTAGAGAATGGAAGGCATAACTGGCCTTGTATAGTTTTGGTAGCATCCATACTGGAAAGGAAGAACACTTTGAGTTTTATGTATCTCATGATGAAGTGATGAGTGGTGCCTGCAGGTCTTTCTGGCATGAGAGAGCAGGAGTGAAACTCCCCTGTGTGGTAAACCAAAAGATCTTTAAATGCTTCCATGGGGAGGTGGTGAATCTAACTAAGATATATTGTAAACAGTTTTGTATATATCACAATGTACCCCCAGTCAACAATAATATGCTAATAAAAATTTAAAAAGTATTCAATGAAGATTAAATATTGCTTCTAAATGAAAATAAATAAATAAACAAAAATGGAAGAGTTCACTGTTAACACACAATGCCTACATCCTCCTCCTTCCTTTGAAAATCATGGTTTTCAATATGACTATATTCCCAATATGCAGAAACTGGTTTAAGAGCAAAATGGTTTAAAGCTTGGAACACACAGAATACTTTAAGAGACTCCTCAGTTCCTAATTGAAGGGCTTGGGTGTACCTTTTAAGCCCTTTTATGCTTTCTGGTTCTCATTATTTGATTTTAAAGTATACTATTAGTATAGGGTTAGTACAATTCTGAGGCCCAAATATAATGCACTTAAAGAATTACAGCAGAAACATTATATGGCAGAACACAAGCACCCTCATATATTACTACATATTAGAGATGATCGGATGGAAAAGTGAACTTTTATGTTTTGGAACTCATTTGGACTGAGCTAGGCAGGTAATTAGAGATAGCAGGACATTCATGGAGAGTGCAAAGAAGTCACTGGCTTCCCGAGATGGAATCGGAGAATCATCTGTGGTGGGACAAATGATTCATTCTGAGAGCTTGCAGAGCCAGGACTGCTACTGCTCAGGCTAACACCAACCAGCTGTGTGACCTTGAGGGACTCATATAACCTCTCTGTGACTTAGCATCACACCTGGTAAATTGATGATCATAATACTTTTACCTGCCTTCTGGGATGTTTGGGAGTTCAAAAGGGCTAATATTGACAAAAGTTTTGATGAGCAGAAAATATAAAAGGGACTATGTCAATGACTGGCAAACTTTCAGAAGTGTTTTCCAAATCACCATTGACCTCTTGTAGGGTTGGAGGAAACCATAGTGCCTGCTTGAGGGGTACTCTCTTTCTCCTTTAAAGAAAGGAGAACAAAGTGTCCTTTAAAAAAATGTTACTACACCTTGGAGCTGCCACCAAACCGTTAAAACCTTAGAAGATAAGGTATGCCTTAACGGCCATTTTGGGGTAAGGCTAGGGCCCTGGGTGAATGAAGAGGAAAAGGCAATGTTGGGGTATTCAGGGGAAGGAAGAGAGGACTGAATACACAGTGGAGTAGTGGGGTCAAGGCTGCTCTGCCCTTGCCTCTCAATATTGGCTTTTGTACCATTTGCCAGACATTCCCAACCCCATTTTGTACATTTTGCACAATACAAATCATTGACATAAACTTACAGGACACATAGGAACGAGAAAGGTTGTGTCACATGTTGGGCTATTTTAGAAAGGGAGGAGAATGGTAGAAGAAGGAAAAAGAGAAAAGATTATGTTAAGTCAGGCAGG